TGTTTGATTTTACATTATGAATGTGCTATGTCCCTTGTATTTCTATACTTTTTTGGTTTTTGCAATTTTGTACTTGGGGTGTGTGTGTGTGTGTGTGTGTGTGTGTGTGTGTGTGTGTGTAAGTTAGTTTACTTGTGAAGCAGTGAGAGAGACAATGGGCTACTCCTTATTTTACCAGAAAGGGTTTCTGGCCCTGAACCAGTCTACATAGGACCGGCCAGTGGTGTATGGGTTTTTGACTTCATACAGGAAAGAATTCACAACACGAGTCCAGGAGAATGTTAGCGGACGCTTATAAACAGGGAAGGGTTGGGTGAATGAGCCTAGGCTGGGCTGCTTTGCTCACTAAGAAGTCAGAGAAAAGGGGGCCCTGGGGACAGGCTTCAGGGAGGGCATTCCTGCGAGGAATGGGCACTGCCCACTGCTGCCCTGGTTGCAAGCCTCATAAAATCCCTTAAAGTTTAGGAGATGCCTGACTGTGGGGGATGGGTGAGGGGGAAGGCTCAGGTGTGCTCCTGGGAAGCAGAGCATTCCTTTTACACTTTATAATTGTATACTGGGCCAGTGTGGATCAGCTGGTTGAGTGTTGTCCTGTGCACTGAAAGGTCGCCAGTTTGATTGCTGGTGAGGGCACATTCCCAGGTTGTGTGTTAGATCCACAGTCGGGCTGGGCACGGGAGGCAACTGACCCATATTTCTCTCTCACATCATAACCAATCAATGTTTTTCTCCCACATCGATTTTCTCTCTGTCTCCCTCTTCCATCTTCTCACTCTAACATCAATAAAAAATACATATTTTTAAAGTAAGAGATATTTTTCCCATTTGCTATGTAGATTTATTTCATGTACTTTTAAAAAATATTCAATGCCTCCTCAATGTAAAAATAAAAGTGAGATATATTTGTGTTAGGTTTTTTTTGAAAGAATCACTGATGCAATGCTTTAATTTTGTGAAAATATTTCGAAAATTGAAAAGAATTTGTAATGGATTCCCACACCTTTCTGCAGAGAAATGAGGAATCTCAAATAAAATATTACAGATAATTTCAGAAAAGGATGGATAAAAGCACCCGTCTCCTGGTAGCTGCAAAACAAACACAAATATGCCATGCTCCTGGGAACAGAAGACACCAAAGAATTAAAATGAGGTCATGGCAGGGGGCAGGGCCATCTCTCCTGTGAGGTGTGTTCCCCCCAAGTGCAAGGGGTTCCCTCTGTGGTAGGCAGTTTGACAGACATGAGCAGAGCAATGACCATGGGCCAGCCCTAGGCCCAGAAAAGCAGCAAAATCAGAAAACCAACACTACAGCTGACCTCAGGACCAGCTGCATTGAGTAATGACCCCCTGCCCAGGCTAGAACCAATTAGTGGAGACCCTGACCTTGAAGGACATACCTGGAAAGCAGATGTACATTCTTTGAGATCCTCCCCTGGGACCTCCCCTAAAGTCTCCACCTTTAAAACCCTGGGCACCCAGGACCCAGCACACTCTCCCTCCTGGGAGCTGGCTCCTGCTTTGCCCTTCCCTCTCCCCTCCCCATCCAAGAGGTGGCGCACCTTGACCTTCCTCACATATAAGCACCAAGGACCCTATTTTTGCCTCTACAAGTTGTGGTCTAAGCCCATTTCTTCTTTGAGGTACCTCTTCTACCTATGGTTTGACACAAAAAACCCTAGGATCCTGGGACATTCTAAGAACTATTTTTATGGCCACATAACATAGGCAAAACCTAAGACTCAAAATTTTGTTCTGGTGTCAAGACTGCTATTGGCACAGACACAGCAAGAGGGTATGAAATGGCTTATTACTCACTTCATGAGGTACGGTCAATTTACATGTTTGTCTTTTATTAGTGTAGATATTTGTATCACTACTGTCAACCTGCTTTTGCTCAACCCTGTACATGAAAATTGAATAAAACATGAAACAAAAATAAGACAATTAGAATTTCCAAAAATGTATATGGAAAATATTTTTAAAATAATAAAAAGTAAATAATATGTATTTCTTTTTAAAAACATAAATGTTCTTGATTTCAGAAAGGAAGGAAGAAAGGCATAGAAACATCAGTGATGAGAGAGAATCATGCATTGGCTGTCTCTGCACGCCCCCTACTGGGAATTGAGCCAGCAACCAGGGCATGTGCCCTTGACTCCTGGTTCATAGGTCAATGCTCAACCACTGAGGGAGCATCACTGGCTGGCCTAGAATAGCTTTCTTACCAAAACTTCTGACTTAGGTCAGTGAAATGTACAACACAGCCTCCATAGAACTCAGCAAATGCAGAGCAAAGCTGCAAGGACACCCTTGCCTAGGGAACCAGGGTGTCTTACAACACAAAGCCAGAGGAGGAAGCTCTGGTGGGGGGCTTCATATCTGGAAAAGGTGGTGACCAGCTTGCATAGTCAGGGTGGAGCCATCTGAAATTGGTTTCAAAAGCTCACACTGATGATGACTCACCACATAGGATGAGAGTATGAAAAATTTTATGACTCACATGATGAGGTTTTGGACGGAGAGAAGGCTGGGTATTACAGTAGGTCCCAGAATGACTGAGAGCACAGGGAAAGGGACTAGCTTGTGGTGTTCATGGCAGGTACTGGGTGCTGTTGGCAGAAGCTTGTTTGATTGACACTTTCCCCCTACCCCCAAGGATAGAGCACCTGGACTTTCTCATCAGCTTTCCCAGGTGTAAGATCAGGGAGGAGAGAAGGGTGCCTCCTACAAACTTGCAACATTCAAACATCAAAACTGGAATCAGGCTCTTTATTGTAAGTATTTCTTTCAACAGCAAGGGTAGAAACTAAGCACATACAAAATTTCTTTCAAATCTGTCATCACTAGACTCTGATGATACTGGTTGTAAGAGGTTCTGAAGATGCAATGGAGAAATAAGGCATAAGTTTTCCTGTAAATGTAGCCGTGACTCCGTACAACAATGAGCAGGTCTTCAAATTATAAAATGAAACCTCTCCCAACTCATAGTCCAGGAAAACACCAATCTTTCCTTGTCCTATAGAGGAAGGGCCAAATGTATGAGTCCAACAGCCATTGCTTGGGGATGATGGTGATAGAGTATTTCTGGGGAAAGAGTCCTTACACACACCTAAGGACCATTTCCCTGTGCCTCCTATGTTTACCACCCAAAAATGCCTGCCAGCATCAAATCCCTCAGAACTCAGGACAGCTGGGTAAGAAGTAAGTGCCTGGGGATTATGAAAACCAAACGATGTCCTATATATCACACTTTTTCTATCTCTTAATATAATGAGACTTGGGTGGGCAGTTTCAGGATCCAGTGTCAAATCTACCTGAAACGTGCGGATCATTTTATGCAGGCCCAAGTAGTGTGGGGGGAGACAGCAACTCCTCTTTAATTCATATGAAAACACTGCCGGGGTCTCTATGTTTCCATAGCTGTTGTGGATGCTTTCAATGCCTGTGAGTAAACCCAGGCCTGTCTGCAAACACTTCTCTTCTATTTCACTTAACAGAATGTTTAACCTGAACATATGGTATGAAATTTGCTTTCCGTTTTCAATTAGTTTTTCTTCAACATCATTCTCTTCTATAGGCAGATCGTTATCAATTTCATCTCGCTCTCTTTCCAATAAAAACTTAAGTTCGTTACATTCATAGTCCAATTCCTCCCTCCATTTTTCCATCTTTCTCTTTACTTCCCAAGTATTTGCAACTTGCTTTTTATATACAGTTTCATCACTTTCAAGGCTGTTAGTGAGGGTCCCAATGTGCCTTTTGAGCATCCCTCTCTGACTAGCTGCTGCTTCCTCAATGGGGATCAGGGGCTGATCCGGGGGGTCTAAGGAGCCCTTGCACTGGGGACACAGCAGCTCCAGGCTTGTCTCACAGAACAGGGTCAGAACCTCATGGTGCTTCCCACACAGGGGTATTTCTTCCTGCATTTTCCTCTGGCTCCCTGAGGTGGGGATCTGCTGAAAAATCTCAGTCATGTAACATAATTGGGTGTTCCTCTCCAAGCTCCTGTCAGGGCAGTGGTAGAGGCAGACAGGACAGGGAAAGGTGCCCTGTAGATCTTTCCAGCGCTGGTGGATGCAGGAGGAACAGAAGTTGTGCCCACAGGCAATGGTCACTGGGTCTCTCAGGTAATCCAGGCAGATGGGGCAGCTGGCCTCTGCTTGGAGCTCGGCCAGCGAAGCAGCAAAGGCCATGGTGCAGTGAAGGTGTCTATCAGAAGAGACTCCCTTCAGTCAGTGTGATCCTCCAGGAGCGAGGAATAGTGAGAAGCTGAGGTCTGCTCAGGCCTCCCTCTCTGTGGAAGTCACTAGGAGCTTCCCCGAAGAGTTCCCATGATCAGCTGATGTCCAGTCTTCCTATACTGGTAAGCTTCTCCTGTATCTAATGTCAGGTTGCCCCCAGTGGAAATCAGCTGTGGACTCTGGTAAAAAGAACAAGCAACATGCAAGTCATAAGAGGTTTCTGAGGACCAAAAGATATCACCACTTAAAAGTTCATTCAGCATTAACCCTTCCCTCCCTGTATGAATGATATGTCAGGTAGACCAAATCATTTATCATGACAACTAGAGGCCTGATGCACAAAAGTCATGCAAGAGTAGGCCTTCCTTTCCCTGGCTGCCAGAACCCGCTTCCCTCTGGCACCTGGGACCTGGGCTTCTCTGCTCCAGCTGTCAACAGGTACCCGGTACCTGAACTGGCTTCCCCCTGGCCCCTCCTTTGTCAGGAAGGACTTCCAGAAGACATCCTGTCTAATTAGCATATCACGCCTTTTATTATTATAGATTATAGATATTTAAGGAGGAGTTAGAAGTAAAGTCTACCTATTTTGCAACTTAAGAGGAATTAGTCAATCTAGGCAAATTTATTATTGGCCTCAAGCATCACCAAAAAAAAGTGATCTTGTGCTGTGAGGAAGAGAAGGATTTGTAAGCCCAGGAGTGAGGTCCTGCCTACCAGAGGCTGCTTCTGTGCTGAGACCCCAGGTGAAGCACCAAGCACATGTGTGACCAGGAGGCAAAACTCTCAACAGGGAATAAGAAGGAAGAAGGGTACATTCAACTCAAAGTCATTGGAAAGGACAGCAGTGAGATTCACTTCAAAGTGAAAATGACAACACATCTCAAGAAACCCGAAGAATCATGCTGTCTAAGACGGGGAGTTCCAATGAACTGGCTCAGGTTTTTCTTGGAGGGTCAGAGAAGTGCTGATAGTCACACTCCAAGAGAGCTGGGAATGGAGGAGGAAGATGTGAGTGAAGTTTATCAAGAACAACCAGGGGGTTATTCAATGGTTTAGATATTCTTTTTCTTCTCTCCCCTCAATCCTTTCTTATTTTTAAAAATAGTTCTTTTGTAATGTGGCCTTCACAGTGGAATTGAAAAGCGATCACACATCCCCCCATCTCTTTAAAACCTCTGGTAATTTGAATTCTAGTGCCCATTATTCATTATTGTTGGTTTTCATTGTGCTGAGTGTTGGTGATCAAGCCTCGGCCTCCTTCATATCGCCCTCTCCTTTTGAAATATTACATGTGTGCACAGGGAGGCCACCCTTTTCAGGACTGTGCATTTTGAAGCTTGTGATAAATGAGGTGGACCAATGCAAGTGTTCATAATACTTCTAATTGGCCCAGAAGTTCTAGCATGTGATTGCTTCACTTCTGGACTATGACTTTCAGTGGGAGGTGGGAGTTTTTCAGTGAACTCAACTGTGGAATTATGACCTTTCATCAGCTTCAAGCTACTTTTAAAATCTGAAGTTCTGGACCAAAACAAGAGGAATATCAGGTTGGAGTCAAGATGACAGATAAGGTGAGAGTAAAGACTAACACCAAAGATGGCTTCACTGAAGAGAAAGCATTTTAAGAGTAAAGGAAAATCTTGCCCTGGACAGTTTGGTTCAGTAGATAGAGCATTGGCCTGCAGACTGAAGGGTCCCGGGTTCGATTCTGGTCAAAGGCGTGTACCTTGGTTGAGGGCACATCTCCAGTACAGGGTGTGTAGGAGGCAGCTGATCGATGTTTCTCTCTCATGGATATTTCTAACTCTCTACCCCTCTCCCTTCCTCTCTGTAAAAATCAATCATATATATATGTTTTGTTTTTTTTAAAAAAGAGTAAAGAAAAAAATCTTGTCAGAAGATCCTGGAAAAGTTTTAATTTTCATCAGCATTTAATAAAGTTATTTATGCAGAAGTGTGTGCAACAGAACACTGCTCTTTTTTAATTTTATTTGTACATTTCAGCCAGGGATGTGACTTTTCAATGGGCATGGTCTGTACCAGCTTCATTAAAGTAAAAAAATTTGGGGGGGAAAAAAAAAGTGATCTGGCCAGGCAGCTCAGTTGGCCAGAGCATGGTGCAGATGTGCCACTGTTACAGAGTCAGTTCATGGCCAGTGCCCAAGCAATAATCAAGGAATGTAGGCAAAAATGAGTTGAACAAATCAATCTCTCTCTCTCTCTCTCTCTCTCTCTCCCCCCCCCATTTCTCTAACCTTAAAGGCCTATTAATAAAAAGAGGGGCCTGTGTGGCTCAGTTGGTTGGAGTGTTGTCCCGTGCACCAGGTCACAGGTTCCATCCTCACATGGGTCATGTAAGAGAGGCAACTAATTGAGGAATCTCTCACATTGATGTTTCTCTGGCACTCTCTCTCCCTCCCTCTCTTAAAAAAAAAAAAAAATAGACATCATACAACTGTTGGAGGGACTATACCATTATTTGTGAGAAAGTTTTGCCTGATAAATGAATCTAAATCTCATCAGAGTTCCAAAGCATCTATTTACAGGAACTATAAGCAATTAAGAAAACTCTGAAGAATAATCTGGTCGATTTAATATTTCAACTTGATTGTACCACTGGATAGCCATTTAGCTGCTGAAACACTAACTCTGGGTATGACTGTGAGATTTCTGGGAGAGATTAGTATTTGAATCTGTTGAGAAAAGCAGACAGCCCTCCACATGTCAGTGGGCAGCATCCATCTACTGACGGCCTGAAGAGAACAAGCACCTGGGAAGGCTGCATTCACTCTCTGCTAGACTCAATGCCCCATCCTCTCAGCCTTTATAAGAAAATAAATTTAAAAAATAAATAATTTTAAAAACTTTAATGTAGAAGTATGTAAATTAAGAGTCTCTTTTAGAAATATACTAGAGCAGTGATGGCAAACCTATGACACTCATTTTTTGGTTGATTTTTCTTTGTTAAATGGCATTTAAATATATAAAATAAGTATCAAAAATATACATCTTTGCTTTACTATGGTTGCAAATATCAAAAAATTTCTATTTGGGGAGCAACTAAGATGGCGGCATAGGTAAACACCGGGAAATTATCGCCTCACACAACAATTGAAAATTACCGCAAAGGACTGAGCAAACATCATCCAGAACAACAGGAAGGCTGGCTGAGTGTAAATTCCACAACTAGAAGGAAAGAAAAGCACGCTGAGAGCCAGAGGCGCTGCGGAGGTGAAGTGTAGAGGTACGGCGGCGCGCGCGCGCGAGGAAAGGGGGTGGCGCCTGAGGACGCGGCTGTCTTTTTGAATCACAAACTCCCGACGGCTCTGAACTCCAGTTCCGGGAAGTCTCTGGGGACCCAGGTCTCATACGGGGAGAAGCTGGTCTGTCCGGCAGCGAGCGAACTTGAGGGCGGCTTTCCCTCAGAGGTGCTTGCAGCCCTTACCGGAACACTGAGACGCGCGACTCCGGGCGGAGAATCGGCCATGGCCGCTTTCTCCGCCCTCTGACTCCCTGAGACCCCGCCCCACCCAGGCTGCGGCAGAGGCTTTTGCATGTGAATGTACCTAACTGCAGCCGAACCAGGCAGACCTGGAACTTCCAAGAGAAGGCCCAAGGCCCCGCAGCGGCTTGCATTGCTTCACAGCTGAGCCTCTTCGTGGCTCCTGCTGTGTGGCCTCAGGCAGAGGCTGAATTAGCACCTCCTTAGATCCAGGAGCCACTGTACCCAGTGGTCAGAGGGGGTCCATCCAGACTGCAACTCCTCAGATCCATAAGGGACGCACTCAGGGAGCAGACTCAGTGAGCACCAAAGCCCCACTGAAGCAAGTCTTGCCCCAGAAGGGTGTCTTCAGCACAGAAGTTCTCCCACTTTAGACACAGCTGATTCTCACAGCCAATTGGCCTGGAGGTCAATTCCTCCCAGTGATTCTACAACAACCAAGGCACCAAGAGTGCACCAAGAGTGTCCACCCCAGGTAACTGGGGAGGCTGAGCTACTGGGCCCTACAGGACACCTGGCGCACAGGGCCACTCTATCAACACAGGGAAGCTGCCAAAATGCGGAGACAAAGAAACAGGTCACAAATGGCAGAAATGGAGGAAAGCAAACGATTGGATATAGAGTTTAAGGCCACGGTTATAAGGTTTTTCAAGAATTTTATGGAAACCGCCGATAAATTTAATGAATCCCTCAATAAGTATAGGGAGACCATGGAGGACATGAAAAAGGACCAACTAGAAATTAAGCATACACTGACTGAAATAAAGAATAATTTACAGAGATCCAGCAGCAGAAAAGAGGATCCCAAGAATCAAGTCAAAGATTTGAAATACAAAGAAACAAAAAATACCCAACCGAAAAAGAAAAAAGAAAAGAGATTCCAAAAATATGAAGATAGTGTAAGGAACCTCTGGGACAACTTCAAGCGTACCAACATCAGAATTATAGGGGTACCAGAAGGAGAGAGAGGGCAAGATATTGAAAACCTTTTTGAAGAAATAATGACAGAAAACTTCCCCTACCTGGTGAAAGAAATGGACTTACAAGTCCAGGAAGCGCAGAGAACCCCAAACAAAAGGAATCCAAGGAGGACCACACCAAGACACATCATAATTAAAATGCCAAGAGCAAAAGATAAAGAGAGAATCTTAAAAGCAGCAAGAGAAAGACAGTCAGTTACCTACAAGGGAGTACCCATACGACTGTCAGCTGATTTCTCAACAGAAACCATGCAGGCCAGAAGAGACTGGCAAGAAATATTCAAAGTGATGAATAGCAAGAACCTGCAACCAAGATTACTTTATCCAGCAAAGCTATCATTCAGAATAGAAGGTCAGATAAAGAGCTTCACAGATAAGAAAAAGCTAAAGGAGTTCATCACCACCAAACCAGCATTATATGAAATGCTGAAAGGTATTCTTTAAGAAGAGGAAGAAGAAAAAGGAACTCTTACCATTTGCCACAGCATGGATGGAACTTGAGAGCGGATAAATACCACAGGATCTCACTCATTTGTGGAATATAATGAACAACATAAGCTGATGAACAAGGACTGATCCAGAGACGGAGAGGCATTGATTGGACTGTCGGGACTTGGAGGGAAGGTAGGGGAGGGTGGGGGTAAGGGGGAAAGATCAACCAAAGGACTTATATGCAAGCATATAGGCCTAACCAATGGACATGAACAACGGGGGGGTGAGGGCATGAGCGGGGGTGGGGGGGTGGGGGGTAGAGGGTAACGTGGGGACAAGGACACATATGTAATATCTTAATCAATAAAAAATATATCTTAAAAAAAAAAATTTCTATTTGTGACACGGCACCAGACTTAAGTTAGGGTTTTTCAAAATGCTGACACGCCAAGCTCAAAAGGTTCGCCATCACTGTACTAGAGGCCCGGTGCACAACATTTGTGCACTGGGGGTGAAGTGTCCCTCAGCCCTGCCTGTGCCCTTTAGCAGTCCGGGAGCCCTCGGGGGATGTCCGACTGGAGCGGGCCTAAGCCGCAGTCAGACATTTTTAACGCTACCGCAGAGGTGGGAGAGGCTCCCACCTCTGCCACTGTGCTCACCAGCTGTAAGCCCAGCTCAGGGCTTCTCGCTGAGCAGCACTCCCCTGTGGGAGCGCACTGACCACCAGGGGGCAGGTGCTGTGTTGAGCATCTGCCCCCTGGTGGTCAGTGCCCATCATAGTTACCAGTTGTTCCACCATTCAGTTGACTTGCATATTACCCTTTTATTATATATATAAAATGAAAAGTTTACAAGTAAACTCATAGAGATTTCCTGCCCAGAAATGGCAAAAGGCTGGTATGACTATAAGGAAAAGTTGCAAAAAAATTAGTTATAGAATACTAGTGGCCAGGTGCACGAAATTTGTCCACATTAAAAGAGGATTAACACAGCCACTTGGCCTGGAGGTCAAACCCTCCCTGGTATTAGCTACAACAATCAAGGCTTAACTACAAGACTGCGCACAAAGACCACTAGGGGGTGCACCAAGAAAGCATAACAAAATGCGGAGACAAAGAAACAGGACAAAATTGTCAATGGAA